TAGAGAGAGAGAGAGAGAGAGAGAGAGAGAGAGAGACCAGCATGATCTTCGCTATTACTGTTGCTGTAATTGTTATTATCATATCATGATTGAAATTATCATTGTTATCATCAGTATTAACATAATCTTGCACACACCGGACATGGTCAAATTCTTGCTGTCTGTCAGCACGTGCCGAGCTCACCACGATCCTCAGCACAATCCCCAGAATGAGAACATTCACCTTGGAAAACACAGAACAGAACAACATTCTATATATGAGAAACAGTAAGCGGATTTGTATGTGTCTACTTTTGAGCCGTCACGTATCATCGACGTTATGCAGCTTTGGTTAATGTCAACATGCAAGTTTTACGAGAGAAGGTAAAAAAAAAATTGTTTTATATTGCTAAAGACACTATCTTAATTCAAAATTATGTTTAATTCGTCTAAATTTGTTACTATTCCAAAAAGAAGAATGAAACTTAAAGTAATTGATACCCCTCATCAAACTCTACATTTACAAATATTAAGTTCCATCTTTTTCGAAATTTTGACATACTACAATTTTGAATGTCGGCGACGATAATATTACTTTGAGCGGCGTTAGTTTTGGGTACTTTATTAATATCATGTGGAACCACCATGCTGATGATTAAATAGGACACTGGTATCATTTTGGTTGCTTGATCTATCCCATTTTAGGAAACATTAATTTCCTTTTTCAACTGACCAATTTAAGTCCTGATCGTTTCCAAAAAGTTTGTTCATGAAAATTTAGTTTGTTCGAGATTAACCAAAAGTCATTACAGTAATAAAGTGACAATAAAAAATTATTTTATAACATACGAACGTTTTTTTCTCCTTATTTTTTACCCCCCCCCCCCTAACCACCACAAAAAACAACCACAACAACAACAAACACCCGTAACTATGCAGCATGGCACAACGGTACTAAATCTTCATTAGTAAGACCAAACGGATAAAGGTCACTAACGTCCTTTGGTAAAAATAACCACAGCTTTCCCTGTATATAAACTGTCAACTTTATGTAGAAAAGGCTTTATCTCTTCCCAGCTGCGAAGGCTCATGGACTTGCACGTGTTCCCGAAAATTGGATCACTGCCTTTTGGGGTTTTATTTATTTATTTGTTTTGGTTTTTTTTTGTTCTGCTGGGCTATAGTTAAGGGGATGTAACTGCCGCGTCTGCAGTTGTTCATTCTTAAATAAAGGGGACAGCTACAAAGACCTTGGTCAAATCTCTCTTGAATATGTCTGTGCATCCGTAAACAGACACGATTCAGCAATAAAGGGATTCATTTAACAACAACAACAAAACAGTGGATCCCTGGTCACAGCGATATCCTCGGCAACGATCTCGCTGACAGTAATGCCAAACTGGCAACAGCGCTGCCGGGTCCAGGCCGCCAAATTACTTATGACAGTGCGTGCGCCCAGATATAACTAATTACAAAAGACCCTCCTATATGCCACACGCGGACGAAGGAAGTATACAGGGCATTTTCCTTAAAACGAGAGGCTTTTATTATGTCCCGCAGTGACCAGTCATTACTGGCAAAAATCAGGACCGGTCATTTCTCTGGGCTTCGGGCCTACAAAAATAGAATAGACAAAACATCGGACCCAATATGTCCATTGTGCAGCGAGGAGCCCCAAGATTTGGAGCACACGGTGGCCCGGCGGTGGCATCTCTTCGGGGAGGATTCAGGGAGGTTGGACTGCCTCACCCGCTACCCAAGGGAGGCGGTGGCCCTGGCGAAGAGCACACTCTTCGGGGCTCCGAACATTTCGAACGGATAGGCTACCACACACACACAACAACAAAAGACAACCCCCCCAAAAAAAAAACAACAACAACAACCCCAAACCAAACAAACAAAACAACAACAACAAACAACAAAACCGTTTTTAAAAGTTAAAAATGGTCTCTTCCCTATTGTTATGTTTCTATAAAGGACATCCAATCTTAGCGACTGTTCTCGACACCAGTTTATAACTTACCGCGATCACAGCAGCGGCGGGGCCAACGAACGCCCAGATGGTGGCTCTGCTTATGGACAGCCAACAGCTACAAGAGGAAGAGGAATTCCAGTTGTTTTTTCCAGGTTGATATAGGCAACTGTAGATCTACATCGAATTTTTGGGCACGATTTTTTTAGGCCTTTACTCATTTCGTTTTTTTTTTTTGCGAATGTTTTGAATTCACGCTTTGAATGGCCCATGAGTGGCATGTAAGCATTGGGGTTTCAAAACAGTGACGTTGACATTTTGTGAAAGACTGAATTCGCGGATTTCTTTAAAAATCATAAACATCGCCAATCCAAGCTGTGCCCCCCCCCCAAAAAAGCCCGGTATACAGTGTACAAACATGAATGCCATTGTGCTACAGATATCTAGTATTGCGAGTATTGAAAGAGGATAATATAATGATGAAGTAGAACACAGCCTCCCCCAACCCCCACCCCACCAAAATGCAAATAAGACATTTCTTTTGGAATTTGCAGCTTAATTTTCAGACGTCAAAGAGCTATTTAGAATGTTGAAGATTAAAATTCTCTATCATATTTGCATGAATAATGACAACCAGATAAATGAATAAATACACAAACAGACAGACTGACACACAAACAGGCTAATAGAAAGCGACAAACAATGAGGATATACCATGATTATACCTTCTGCGGGTACCATAGCCATGCCAGTCCACTGCTGCAGACACAGACACAAGGATGCCAGGTACACCTGAAAACGGGACATAATGAAAGAGACTTCTAGATGGGGCTTGTAAATGGCTTTTAGTGACTGATAGTAAAAGTGTTCCGCTTTTTTTTACACATTTCATATTTTTAAAGCTGTCTGAGGGAAATAGGGTTGAGCAGAATAAAAGCATTGCAGCAGAAGAACAAGAGATACTCAGTAAAGAAAAGGCTTTCTCATACAAGAAAGGGGCTTACGCGTTTTGCGTGCAATCTCACAATAAACAGCCTAGATTTTACATCATTGACTTTCGAACCTTCTGAAGAAGGTGAAAATAAACCCGGACAAAGGGGCTTTACAAATTTTGTGTAATAAAAATATTCAGTTCCCAGACCTCAAATTACACACAACGACATTTAAAAGCAATGTGAATGGAATTGTGATCCACAGAAAAAGCAGTTATATTAAGAACAAATTACACAAATGTCTCTCAGACGAAATGAAAGTGTATAACCGTATATGCCCTGTTCACAGTATTTGGGAAAAGCTTGGGATATAATAGTGACCATTCGAATTTTTTCTTTACATGTAAATTATAATTAATTATGAGTTCCAATTCCTGCCATTATATGAAATAAAATCGCTTGACATGGGATCTAGATGCTGAGCGCCCCCCCCCCCCCCAAACAACTCCAAGATACAAATGAAGATGGCACACGAATAATAGAAGTGGACCCTGCAGCTCAGAGAAATCTCAGTTGACAGGTCTCTTCATTCTCTCTAGGAGAGAATTTTCAAAAATAAATTCAATGTCAATCTCTGTTTTTCATTAAGCTCAGGAGGATAAGACACAACTTTGCTTATTAACTGTTCAAATTTATCAAGGGAAAGAGGATTTTGACTCGTCCATGAGTACGTCATTAGGATTGTCTATACTCACAACTGAGTACTCTGTCATAGAAGAACTCCTGCGTACGTAAATCCAATTCATTATCCGCCTTATCTATACTGGCAATAAACAGACGTGTCCATGTGAATCTGGGCATAGCTGTGACTAGTCCGCTTCCATGCAGTAAATGCGGAGGGTGGTTAAAGGATGCCACTGCTAGGCTGTGCAATATTCCAATCTATTCTTAATTGGAAAAGAATTTCATTAGGAAAATGAGCTTATCCCCCCCCCCCCCGCGCACGCAGACACAAGGAAAGCACAAATTTATAACTACAGTCTCATCATACAATCTCATGGCATGCTAGTGCGAGTCTTCTGACTTCTCTGTCTCGCCAAGCTGTCATTACGGTCATCAACGTTGAAGCATGAAGCATGCAGTTGTCTCTGAGATACAGTCTTCCCAATCAAATAAAACAGTTGCAATTAGTCGTTTATTGTTTGGTACCCATCCGGAGAAGACTCATACGACACAAAATAATTATCTTGATTGGCCAGTTCGCCGTGGGTGTACATCGGTGCTACAGTAAAGGCGATTGGCTCCTTCCTCTTGCGATAGCCAAACCCTGGGCCATAGACTCCGAGAACTCGGGAAAGTGATTTAATTTACCTCTCCAACAAAACAAATTCCTATCTGTCATAACACTGAATACTAGCCACCATTTTTAGATTACAAGTTTGACGCCCCAGAAACAGGACTGGACTGGCCTGAACTTGACAAATACTCCTTTTAATAGAGTAGATTCTCTTATTTAGAATAGACACCCCATTGTGAGCAAAAGTTGCATGTGTTAAAATCTTATCATAATAAATGAAGGCTATAAGTACTATTCACTCAAGACCACCTCTGCATAAAAACAAGGAGATGTAGAAAGTGAACACTGAGAAACTACAATTAAAAGAGCTGCTGAGTTGACCCACCTTTGAAAACTGCATCTCCTCTCGACGCTCAGCGGCAACAGGGGATGAAAAAGTTAAAGTAAACTTAAATAGTAAAACGTAAAACACGTGTTTTTAGCTTGGCTCAAAAACTGTGTCTGTTTTACTTACCCCAGCCGAAGAAGATGTAGTACAAAATACGCGATTTCTCCGTGCCAAAGACTCGCACCACCTGGCTGTACAAGTGCAAGCCTTCCACCAGCATCCACACAAAGGAGGCCAATGAGAAATAGTGCAGGACCACTGCTACCATGGAACACAGGAGCTATGCAAGACACACAGAAATCTCGTTTGTATGATATTGGATGTCGACCATTTGTTTCGGTGTGACTGCTCAATGGGTTATTTTTGTGTGTTGGAGAAATGGTTGTTTAATATAATGCCTCCTGGGAAGATGTGAATGATTCTGAGTGTTCTAGGGTCTGCTGTGGTAATAATAAAGCGCATAAAGCTAGCTATTGGGCGGGGATATGTGTTATAATATGATGCTATTTGTTTATCATTATTTATAATCAAACATACGTTTGTTCAAGGTTTTACAATCCTACTACACTAAAATATTAGAGACAAGAACATAGTAGGCCACCGCCATGAGGTAATTTTCTTTGAAAATCAAATTAACCAAACATTGCATGACTTTAAACCTGAAAATGAAGCCAATTCCCTACATGTAAGAACTGGAGAGACTAATCTATGGCACAGAGTAATCTCACCTTATTCTCCACGGCTTTGATGCCGGAAATGAAAGTGAGTTGCATTCCGATGATGGCCAAGCACAGGTTCCGGTGAACGCACACTCGCTCAGAATTAAGCGACCTGGGGTTTTACCACACATCAGTGTCAGTATACATGCAATCCACACGCCTTTGAGTTTTGAACATTAGTGCACACCTTTTTTGTTACACATATTATTGTTAAAGATTAAAAGCCACAAGGATGATCCCCCCCCCAAAAAAAAAGGAATACTGTTTTTCTTTTCGACGGTCCTCATCATATTACACGTACACACATAAATACCGGTGTCTGTGGTGTAGTAGTTAGGAACTTTGAGGTCCCACACAGAACATCTGAATTTGATTCCTGTTAAGAGAAAACATTTTAATGGAGTATCTCAATCTTTCTGCTAGGGCCATGGGTCCTTCTCAGTCAGGGTTGACCGTGACAGGCAGGGTCGAAACATGTCACCTCAATGATCAACGTTGTGTCAATGGTGTACACACACTTACATAGGTACAGGAGTAAATGACAAGCAGTAAACGAGTCTCCACGCGCAAACTTTTGTGTATTACTTGTAGGCTGACATGTCTGAAACTTAATTCAGAGTACTGAATACTTAGTCAAGACGTCTGATGTGGGGGAGACGGCTGATGGACTTGGTAAGCACTCATATGGTCCGGGCTCAAAATACAAATGAGGCCAGAATTGTTTTTCTAAACCTCTCTGAAATATTTCTTCTCTTAGTTTAGTATCCTGATTGTTAATTAAATTTCCACATTCAAATTGGAAGACACTGTGCTTGTTCCGCCGTTTAACTCCAACATTGTTATTGTCTCAATATATGCGGTCGGTGAACCCATTGCCTATTTGGCGTCTGTGGCGTAGCAATTAGGCGCTTCGCCATCGCACGCAGAAAACTCGAGTTTGATTCCTATATGGGGATAGTTTTCTCAGAGTATCTCAGTCACATTGCTGGAACGTTGTATACCTCTCAGTTCGGGTTGGCCGTGACAAGCAAGGTCGAAGCACACCTAAATTATCTAAATTGTGTCGAAGGGGGTCATACAAAGTACATACATGTATATTGAAAAAAAAATTCTTAATCTCTGACAAGTCAGCGGATTAAATCACCTCTTTTCTGTCTAGTAGGGCGTAAGCGTACTACACGTCCCCCTTCCAACCCCCCCCCCA